TGGGGGTGAGAGATAAGCCATGGAAAGGGGAAAGGATTAACGATGTCTCTCGGGCAGACAGCGCCAGCCAAGTATTCTCAAGGAATTTTAAGTGGGATGTTTGTAATATTTCCCAGACGCAGCTGCCCTGGAAAACCATGTGTGAGTGTGAATACATATACACACATAGTCATATATATATATATATATATATATATATATATATATATATGTGTGTGTGTGTGTGTGTGTGTGTGTGTGTGTGTGTGTGTGTGTGTGTGTGTGTGTGTGTGTGTATGTATGTATGTATATATATATTTATATCTATATCTATCTATCTATCTATATATATATATATATCAGCCTCCTGGCTAGTACAGTGGTAACGTGTCGGCCTCTCATCCGAAGGGTCGGCGGTTCGCTCCCCGCCTGTAATGTACTGTGGACTTCCTCTCTCTCTTTTCTAGTATGGTACAGCCGTTTGTGTCTTGAAGTGAAGTGTCGTGGAGTTGATAGTTAAAGTTGATACAGCTTCAATACTTTATTCTGCGGTAGCGTGGTAGGTGGGATACAGAGGTCAGGCGTGGCAGAGTCGCCCAAGGAGGAGCGAGGCCTCGTGCCACGCCCGCAGGCGAGCGGTCTCGAGAGAGAGCTGGAACTTGAGGTGTTGCCTGAGCCGATGCTGAGGGCAGAGTGACTTCGGCTCTCCGAGATTTCGAATGGTTCACAATATTCACTAAACATAAGAATATGGCAACATTGTTCTTTCGTGGGAAATGTCAATACTATCCCTCTGGTTTACAACAGGGTAAGGGTCTTGTGGTCACATGTTAGGTCGGTTACACTGGGTATGACAATACAATTATATAGTCAACATCAGATAACTACAATATCAGCAATAATAATTATTACAAACATAGTGATTGAGAACAAGGAATTTTGACAAACATTTTGAGTATAATCAAGATATAAATTAACATGTAGTTATAGAACATTCGACGATAAGGGTCGGAATCGTTTGCTCTGTGGGCACTTCACTATTGTCGTTATTTTCTGGGCGCAGGTCAAACTTGGCACAGTCGATTACCACTAGGGTCTTGGGTACCGTGGGAAGTCGAGGGGGAAGTAGAGGGGACAGGTCATTAAACCGCTCGGCCACCTAATCAGACGATCCTGCTGCAGAGGGTGACCTAAAGGCGAAGAGAGGAGTCTCGGTTCTTGCAGATGAGCAGGAGGGAAGGTCACACAGGTCACTTCTAAGGTCGGGGGCCTAGGGAGCTTGTTTGCACAGGTCACTGTTCCGAAGCGCAGGTGGTCTTGACGGGAGCAGCAGTGGTGATCAGTCACGAAGCTCGTCAATCGTTCCACAGGATCGCTGGAAGTTGCAGTTAACTTGTCAAGCGCCGTGTCATTCGTAAATGACACGCACACCGGTTTAGAAGATTCTGGACCAAGTTGAAGGCGAGGAGACGAGTGCTGAGCGGAGAGTCGTGAGAACGAGGTCTTGAGAGGATCAGGATCACGTCGTTGGCGGGGAGGGTTCGTCATCTCTTGAGAGGAGGAGCACCAGGGCGTTGGTGTCACGAGTTCCGACAGGCAAGGCAGGACCACTCTTGCCAGGTTCACCAGCACAGGCATCAGGTGTGGTGAGTGAGACGATATGCGACGAGGACGTCGGGCGATACGAGACGAAACGAGATGCGACGAGGACGTTAGGCGGCAATCACCAGCGGACGAGGCGGCGGACACGGCCGAAGTTGCAGCGACGTGCAGTAGA